CAGAGAAAGAACTGATAAACAGAAGTATGCATAGTTGTGTGTGTGTGTGTGTGTATACATATCTGTGACAAATGGTGGCTTCTAGGAAGGGAAGTAGGGAGGGAAACAATTTGGAACTTAAAATGTAACAAAAAAATAAAATTAAAAAATAAATTTAATTTTTATTTTTAGTTCCACATTCTCACCCTCCCTCAACCTCCTCTCCCACCAATTAAAGCAAGAAATATTATAGTTAACATGATGGGGATGGGATCTGAATCCCTAAAAGGAAAAGACCATGTGTTTGGGATCTGGACCCCAAAAAGAAAATACTTGGACTTTTCCCAAATCTCTGGCATTTGCCTGAGACTGTAATCCATTCAACTGGCCTTTCATTGTTGCTATGTCCAATCTCCCAATTCTGTTCTGTTACCTCCTAATTGCCCCTGGCCACTTCCCACCCTTAATCTTATCTAGACTCTATTTTCCCAGATCCTCCTTAGACCCCTCCTCCAGCCACCCCAGATTACTTGGCTACTCCTGGATCCCTCCCACAGTCTTTCTGTATGTAAGATCCATTTTGACTCCATTAAGATGTATCTAGTCTTAAAATCTAGTCAATGGCTGAGATTCTTAAAGTCTAGCCAAAGCTCAGATTCTTATAATCTAGCCAACAGCTCACAAAATGTTCAGATTGCTTAAGAGTCTGGCCAGCATGGTGGATCTTTAGTAAACATTGTCTTTGGCTGAAAGAAGGCTTGGGTCGAATTCATTCGAACAGGACCCATGATTTTGGGGTCCTAGCACCCCTAAACCTCTAAACCTCAACAATTATACATATATAATCATATAACATCACATTCATATACTATAACTCATTTACCATTCTCCAATTGATGGGCATCCCCTCAGTTTCCAATTCTTTGCCACCACAAAAGAACTGTTACAAATATTTTTGTACATAAAGGTCCTTTTTCTTTTTTCTCTATCCCTGGAGTATAGACCTAGTAGTGGTATTGCTGGGTCAAAGGGTGTGCGAATTAGTATACTTTATAATGTGACTTTTTATAGATAAGTATTTTCTTAATTTCATAAAATTCACTGACCATCATACAATATTTATTTTCTGATAAGTCCAACAGCATGTGTTTCAACACCAATGAAGATTTAAAGTTTCTGGTACAATTTTCCAAGTCCCCACCACTTCGATTTTCAGACCTTGCCTAGGAAGCATAAGTAGCTAGTGCCCATTCTACTTACTTTAACACCTAGCTCCCTCATTGTTTTTGTTGGTTCATTCTTGAGACTGAGGATAATAGAAAAATCCAAAGTCCAAATCAATCAGGTCCCTCCTCTTCCCCTATCTAGTTTCCCTTCTCAGTGTAATCCATAAACTGAAAGGCTGGATTATTGTCATTACAAAATGATTTCATTTTATTAAGCTTTGTCAGGGAAGACTTCAAAAGGCAGGCCCATGATCTTAGACCCTCACCCTTTGTTATCAGTTCATCCCTCAACCCCAACCCAGACTATCTACCAAGTTCTCACAAAGTCTGGTTGCACAGAATTAAAAGGTGTATCTGGCAGATGGGCTATTTGACAGGGAGGCTGCCCAGACAAGTATGGAGCATTCCATCTTCCAAGGAAGTAGTTTCTGCAGAGAAGCAATCACTTAATTAAATGGCCCCTCTCAAAAAATCTTAAATCTCAAAGTTGGAAGGGACCTCAAAGGCCACCTCATTCAACCCATATTTTAGCAAAGATCACTTCTACCACATATTCCGCAAATGGCCATCCAGCCATCATAGGAATGATCCTTCTGCCTACGCTTTTCTCATATCCTATCCACTGCACCCTCACACCCCACTCACCTGAGGAGGAAGAGCTAACCTTATTTTTCCTACTTTATTCTTAATTTGGCATCCAAATTAAACAGCCCAGGACCCACTAGACTACCTGGTAAACCAAAAATTGCCAGTTGTCCATGCCAAGCAAGTGTCTTTCATTAACATTAGCAATGTGTCACACCACATCTCTGTGTGTATGCATACATATATACACACATATATGTATAAGTACATACACACACAAAATAGTGATATTATATAGATCACTACACGGATAGATAGATAGATGGGTACATAGATGGATAGATACATAGAGCAATGGATAGAGTGCCAGGCCTGGAGTCAAGAAGACTCATCTTCTTGAGTTCAAATTTGGCCTCAGACCCTTACTAGCTGTGTGATCCTGGGTAAGTCACTTATCCCCTATTTGCCTGTTTCCTTATTTGTAAAATGAGTTGGAGAAGGAAATGGCAAACCACTCCAATATCTTTGTCAAGAAAACTCCAAATAGGGTCACAAAGAGTCAGACACAACTGAAAAAGGACTGACCAATATCAACAACATAGTGGACCACAGATCCAGAGCTGATTCTTGGAGACCAGTTAGTCCTACTCTCATTTTACAGATGAGGAAACTGAGGTCAGGGAGGTTAAGTAACTTACGCAATGTCATATAACCAGTAAGTGTCAGAGGTGGTATTTGAACAGGTCTTTTGGCTCCTGAATCAGTGTACTTACCACTATACCAAGCTGCCTAACCTAAAGTAAAAAACACACTAGTCTTTGTGTTGAGACTTGAAATCAAATTCAAGCTCCGATATTAGCTGTGACCCTATCCAAATTACTTTGGTTCTCTGAGACCTAGTTTCCTCATTATAAAATAAGAATAGTAATATCCGTACTATTTGCCTCCCAGGATTGTTGAAAGTAATCTACTTGATACACCTTTAAAGCATTATAGAAATGTATGCTATTTCTGTGCCCAGCTCAGCTATTCCTGGTTAATGATTTTTTGAAACATTTTTTGAAATTTTCCTGCCACAGTCTGGTTTAATCTTTTTGGGAGAGCCTGGAGAACTTTGCTTTCCTTGGTTAATAAAAAATACAGAATTCCAGAATTCTAACTGAATTCTATAGCAGATACAATCCTAGGGTTGTCCTTTCTCTCTCTGCAAATCTTGCACTAGAGTAGAAGGATGCTGAGATTCATTACAGACTTAGTTCTACCCAAGGGCATTCATTTTTTTTCAACTTCAATGCCTTTTTTAGAATTAAGTTGAATGGTTCTAGGACCACACATCTCCTTATGATTCCAGAGCTAAGGAACTCTGTGAAGGCAAAATGAAGGACAAAACTAGAAGCAATGGGTGGAAGTTGACAAAAGACAAATTTAGGCTTCAAATAAAACTTCCTAACAATTAGAGCTATGCAAAGATGGAATGGGCTGCTTGGGAGGTAGCAGATTCCTTCCAGATTAAGATCTTTCTGTAACGACTAGAGAGCCACTGGCTGGTTATGTTGGTAGAATTGTTTTTTGTTGAAATATGCATTGAACTAGGTGGTCTTTGAGGTCTCATCCAACTTTGAGATTTGAGATTTTGAGAGCATGGTTAGGGGCCCAGATAGTAACTTCCCTATGGAACAGGGTGACTGGGATTTTCTAAGTATTGTATGCTTCTCCCTGCCAAATATGCTCCTTATTAGCTAGTTTCTAGTGGTTACAGCAGTCTGAGACCCTTTCCAAGAGAAGAGGATGTGGTGATTGTGTAAGGCAAACACTACTTCCTCTTCCCCACTGACATCATTCCTTTCTTACCCCAACTAGCTTCAGAACTTTTATTTACCTAGGAGAGTCATGCCATGCCATGCCATACTATGGGAGTCTGACATCTTCGGAAAGAAAGAAGGGGCTGTGGACAAGGGGCATCCCAGATTCCTGCCCAGTTCCTTAATAACAAAAGGTGATATTTAAGATGATACCTGGGGGAAGGGGGGTAGTGACAGGAGACAGAATGGCCAGGCACTGGGGGGAGGAGTGTGGAGCTAAAGCTGAGAGAGCAATATGGACGTTGCAGTCCAGTAGGGAAGAGCTAGTCAAAAAGGAACCAGAAATCCTTTGGCTGGGGCGTCTTATTTCACTGATACAAGGAGATGCCTGGGCATCAGAAGAAACTAGAGTTTAGTGAGTGGCATTGTAAAAAGAGTCCCAAGATGAGAAGGGGGTTCAAGTTTGGTTTTATGTGGCCCTGAGCAAATTACCTACCCTTTTTGTACAAAATAGGGATAAATGATAACCAGATATTTGGGCCAATTTCCATACACAGTTGGTAGGGAAAAAAAATCAAATAACAATTCTGAGTCTTTTGGGGGAGGGAGGAAGCAATCTGGGTTAGCGACTTGCCTGTGATCACAAAGCTAGTAAGAGTCTGAGGCCAGATTTGAACTGAGGTCCAATTTTGAGTCTTTAAAAAAAAATACACAAATGTAGATTATTAATGACACAAAGCAAGACAAGGACTAGCCACACAGCAATGAAAATGAACAATCTCTGCCCTTAAGAAGATTATAATTGGTAGAGAGTGTGAGATAGGTATACAAATATGTACAAGCTAGAAAATGACTAGGAGACTAGAAGTCAAAGTGGGTAGAGACATACAAGGATGAAAGGGTTGCTTCTGTCTTGTGGAGATCAAAGAATTATTAACTTTTCAAGGTTTTTGGATCTTTTCCTTGCCACTACCACACTGTTTGTATAATAATTATTTGTGCATAGGTTATATCCATTTTCTCTCCCCCCCATTCCTTTCTCCTCCCTTCCCTACAGCAGACTGGGAGATCCTTGAGGACATAGAATGGATCAGTTATTCATTTTAATACCTCTAAAGTTTAATAAAGTGCTTTTGCACAAAGCAAGTGATTAATGCTTGTAAATTCTATTCTTAATACTAACACTACTACTACTTTCAGAGAAGAGGGGCAAATAGGATGCCCAGAGGGTGGAGGGTGGGGGATAAGGAAGATTTCCAGGGAGTTGGTGAGAAACAGCTGGAGACCCAAGGGAAGTAGATTGGGGCCAGAGAAGGGGGCTGGGATCTGTCTACAGGTAGCAGGGCCAAGAAATCTCGAGTCATAAAACTGGGGGCACCCCTGGTCTTGGCAGATGAGGGGAGGTCACCTTTCAACGCTTCTTTCATTGCCGTTAGTTCTGCTTCGCTGAACTGGGCAGGGATCCTGGATGCTCCTGGGCGCCCCCAGCGTTGCAGCTCTTCCGGACCTGGGAAAGTGGCGGCCCGGAGCAGCAGCACTGCCACTAGGGCTAGCACTGTCCCCATCACCCCCATCGCCAGCGCCCGGACGCCCACAGACAGGCCCTCCTTAACAGCCGCACCCCGATGGTCCATCCCCACGCTGTTTCAGCACCCAACTGCTTGCTGAAGTCTGGACTCCAGCGTCCAGACGCTGAAGTCTACCCGTCTCGAACTACCCTGGCTCCGTCCCTTCTACTGACTCTGACCAATGGCAGAGAGGGAGGAGTATCGGGGCAGCCAATTACGACACCTCCGACATGACCCCAGGTTTGAAAGGCTTTCGGGAATTGTAATGTTCCTCCCCAGGGAAGGACAGATGTAGTATAGAGGTGAAGGGTATAGTGTGTGCAAGCTTGAGTTTCCGCTTGTGCTAACCTGCTACTGGGCTTCTATTCCACTTCGAGACATTAAACAGAGATAAGGAATCGTCCTCGGTGTCTTTCTCTCTCTCTCTTTTTTTAAATAAATTTCAGGGTTCATATACTTGTGTCTCAGGCAATGTGATACCTTGCCTTAGAGTTTTTTTTTCTTTTTTTAATATAATTTATTTATTTTTAGTTTTCAACATTTACTTCCACAAGATTTTGAGTTCCAAATTTTCACCCCATCTTGCCCCTCCTTCCACCCCAAGATGGCATGCATTCTGAATATCCCTTCCCCTAGTCTACCCTCACTTCTATCTGTCCCTCCCCTTCTCTTATCCCCTTCCCCTTCAATTTTCCTGTAGGGCAAGATAGATTTCTGTACCCCATTTCTTGTATTTCTTATCTCCCAGTTGCATGTGAAAACATTTTTTTTAAACATGTGTTTTTAAAACTTTGGGTTCCAAATTTTCTCCCTTCCTCCCTCCCTCCCCACCCTCATTGAAAAGGCAAGCAACTCAATATAGGTTATACATGTGCAATTATTGTTATAAAGATGACCCCAGACTCAGTTTTGAAGACTGGTGTCTCAAAGACTTTTTATTAAAGAGGTTGAAGTGCGCCATTTCGATTCTCCTGAGAAGTGGGTGCACTTCCTTGGAAGGAGAGAAAATGCACATGGTAAAAGAAGCCAGGGCAAGCTTTATAGTTAGTAATTGCCTAACTCTTCCCTTCTGGATCAGGATTGGTCCTAATCCTTCTGGGTTACAATCTTCTTTATATGCCCCACCCCTAACATACATTATGTGTCTAGAATTGTGTTATCACTTCCCCCCTTGAATGGAGAAGTTAGCCTGTCTGTGCTGATTTCTTATCTACTTATGTGGAAACTTAACTCTTTCATTTCTCACAGTTATGCAAAACACTTCCATAGTAGTCATGTTGTGAAAAACTAACTCTATTTCCTTTAATCCTATCCTGTCCTCCCCCGTTTATTCTATTCTTTTTCTTGACCCTGTCCCTCCTCAGAAGTGTTTGCTTCTGATTACCCCCTTTCCCAATCTGCCCTCCTCTCTATTATTCCCCTGCTCTCTTGTCCCCTTTCCCCACTATTTTCCTGTAGGATAAGACAGATTTCCATACCCAATTGAGTGTGTATGTTGTTCTCTCCTTAAGTCAAATCTTATAAGAATAAGATTCACTCATTCCCTCTGACCTTCCCATTTCCCCTCCACTGTAGGAGCCTTTTTCTTCTCTGTTTTTTGTGAGATAATTTACCCCATTCTACCTCTCCCTTTCTCCTTCTCCCTGTATAATCCTCTCTCACCCCTTCATTTTATTCTCCAGATATCACCCCTTCATCTTCAACTCACCCTGTGCCCTCTATTTATCTATTTATGTCTATATCTATGTCTATATCTATATCTATATATATACATGTAATTTTTTTCCTCCAACTACCCTAATACTGACAAAGGTCTTATGAGTTATAAATATCATCTTTCCATGCAGGAATGTAAACAGTTCAACCTTAAAAAGCCTCTTATGATTTCTCTTTCCTATTTACCTCTTCATGTTCCACTTGAGTCTTGTATTTGAAAGTCAAATTTTCTATTCAGCTCTGGTCTTTTCATCAAGAATGCTTGAAAGTCCTCTATTTCACTGAATGACCATTTTTTCTCTGAAGGATTATACTCAGTTTTGCTGGGTAGGTGATTCTTGGCTGTAATCCTATCTCCTTTGCTCTCCGGAATATTATATTCCATGCCCTGCAGTCCCTTAATATAGAAGCTGCTAAATCTTGTGTTATCCTGATTGTGTTTCCATAATACTTGAATTGTTTCTTGCTGGCTGCTTGTAATATTTTCTCCTTGACCTAGGAACTCTGTCATTTTGCTACAATATTCCTAGGAGTTTTCCTTTGGGGATCTCGTTCAGGAGGAGATCGGTGGTTTCTTTCCATTTCTGTTTTGCCCTCTGGTTCTAATATAATCAGGGCAGTTTTCCTTGATAATTTCTTGAAAGATGATGTCTAGGCTCTTTTTTTTTTATCATGGTTTTCAGATAGTCAAATAATTTTTAAATGATCTCTCCTGGATCTGTTTTCCAGGTCAGTTGTTTTTCCAATGAGATATTTCACATTGTTTTCTAATTTTTCATTCTTTTGGATTTGTTTTACAGTGTCTTGATTTCTCATAAAGTCACTAGCCTCTAATTTCTTCATTCTAATTTTTAAGGAAATACTTTCTTCAGTAAGCTTTTGGACTTCCTTTTCCATTTGACCAATTTTGCTTTTTAGGGCATTTTCCTCCTCATTGGCTTTTGGACCTCTTCTGCCATTTGGGTTAGGCTATTTTTTAAGGTGTTATTTTCTTCAGTATTTTTTTGGGTCTCCTTTAGGAAGCTGTTGATTTGTTTTTCATGATTTTCTTGCATTACTCTCATTTCTCTTCCCAGTTTTTCCTCTACTTCTCTTACTTGTTGCTCAAAATCCTTTTTGAGCTCTTCCGAGGCCTAGGGCTGATTCATATTTTTCTTGGAGGCTTTGGATGTAGGAGCTTTGACTTTGTTGTCTTCTTCTAGTTGTATGTTTTGATCCTCTTTGTTACCAAAAAAAACATTCTATGGTCTGACACTTCTTGCGAGGTGTGCTCATGATTCCAGCCAATTATTTGAGTTATAATAAACTCTTTATTAAGGTAGAGGTCTGCTTCCAATGTGGAGAATGTACCGTCCCAAGCTTCGGGGTGTGTACTGATGCTTTCAGAGATACTTCTAGGGACCTGTAAATTTTCAGTTCTTCCAAGGTGGTATGATAAGGGGTGAGGTGTTTACTCCTTTCCTGGCCTGTGCTCTGGTCTATGAGTGACCACAAGCACTCTTTTCTGTTTTGGAACTGTGAGGAGGATTCTCTCTCCACCACCACCACAAGCTCACCACGCCAGTGCTCCTCCTCGCCCCAGGACCTCCACTCAGAACTGTGACCCAGATCCAAGCACAGGCAAAGCAAGAGATTCCTGCCTCAGCACTGGCAAAGAGATCCCTGCAATCCCCCTCTGATCAGCCACTGGATTCCCCCTCAGTCTGTGGGCTGGAAGCTCAGGAAGTAGCCGCTGCCCCAGGGCTGCGCTTGGGAACTGGGGCTGAGACCAAGCTTCTCTCTCACTGTAGAAACAGACTTTTCCCACTGACCTTCTAAGTTGTCTTTGGTGTTCGTGGCTTGAGAGGTCTGGAGACTGCCACAGCTGCCCACAATTCAGTCTTCTGAGGCCTGCTCCAGGTTCATTGCAGCCTGTGTGCCCATGTCGAACTGCGCTCCTCTCCCCGCCCGGCACAATATACCCTTCTGATCAACCATCCAGGTTGTCTTGGGCTGGAAATTTGTTTCTCTCTGTCTTTTTGCGGGTTCTGCTCCCTCTGAGTCTTTCTACAATGCTTCATCCTGACATAAAAGCGATGCTTAGCTCAGGAAAGATAGGCTTCTCACACGATCCTGTTATTCCAGGACAATTGTTGAGTTAGAAGAAGCTTCTCCCTAACAGCCAGAATAGCCACAAGGTGATTTTTTTTCTTTTTTTTAAAGATTTAGTACTTCTCAGGGGGAAGTTGGGTGGCGCAGTGGATAGAACACCAGCCCTGGATTCAGAAGGACCTGAGTTCAAATCCGGCCTCTGAAGGGTTAATGTATAAGATCTTCCCTACCCACAGCGCAAGCCAAGTGACAAGAAACTTCCCTAACATACTGTTCTGGGATTTGTTTCAACCCAGACCTACCTTGGGGAACTATTACTTAAAAACAGGTCTTGAGGTGAACATCCAAGGACTTGGCCAGTTCCTGTGTATTGACCTGATACATTTTTGACATGACAGAGATTGTTCTTGAGGTCGAAGAGTTTCTGCCAAAACTCTCAGGTCCTTAGGATTAATCACCTATTCCCTAGCACCCTGCCTTCTTTGTGTAAGGATGATAAAAAGGATCTTTCTTGGGAAAGCGATTTTGGCAGTCTCCCTAGGACAGGACGCTCTGTTGTAGGGACTTTCCCAACCGAGACCCTGAGGGCTGTGATACAGGACTCTCCCAGCCAGATGTTCAGGAATTGGTGCTTCCTCGGATTGGTGATGTATTTCTTCTTCTTTATCTCTCTATCTTTCTGTTAATAGTCTTTGCTTCTAAAATTGTATAATCATATGTAATCACATTTATATGCACGCATATTTATGATTATTTTCATTATTAAGCCATTTATAAGCTAGGAACAATGTGAATGTGTCTTTGTGGGTACAGAACCGAACCTGTGAAACAAATTATAAGTGCTGCACAGCCCATAACACCTTGCTGTTACAGCCTCAGACACATAACACTTACTAGCTGGCTGACCCTGGGCAAGTCACTTAACCCCATCGCCTAGCCAAAAAAAAAAAAGATTTAATGCTTCTCAAAGTCCATCTATTATGCTGTAGAAGGGATGTGATCTGGAGGGAATACTCATACTAAGGAAGAAATAACTGTTCTCCTGAGTTAAAGAGGGCTCCTTAATACAGAGGGTCAGAGTATGAACGGGTCCTTGCCAGCGTGGCTATGTTTGACCTGAGCCCTCCTACTGTAAACCAGTATGTCTGGTTTCTTCTTGAGTCCAGACAAAAATGGTCTCTTCCCTTTCAACATGCTCTTCCACGTCATCATTACTGGTTTATTCTTCCAATTTCAGACTCACTTTTAGCCCATCAGCAATTGGCAATCAGTGGCTCTCAGCCATGTCTATGTCTAACTTTTGCGAACTGGCTAACTCCAGTCAAAGTAGAACA